GAAGGAACCAAAAGCCGAAGGGTTCTTACTGCTTTTCACAGCCTGGCTTCAATTCAGGTGGAGACAGGTGTCGTCCCCAGCCTGGGTTCAGGACAGCAACTTTCACTGCTCCCTGCCCCCCACCACCGCTGCCACCCCCTCCATTCATATACTGGAAACCCCAAAAGGGTGTGGGTGACCCCTTCCTCCAGCTTTTCGCGGTTCAGTGAACTTACAGTACCATTTTATATCCGTGTAAACATCAAAAGTTATAAAGACGTAACAGGCAGACAGATGACAGGCTGGCCGTGGGGAGCCAGCATCCACATGGAAAGGAGGGTGTCGACAGTGGTGCTGGCACTGAGAAAGCCCGAGGGGTCAGTGCAGCTGGGGTTCGCAGCCCTGCAAGCGGGGCAGAGATTCCTGCAGCCAGAGGAGAGGGCGCTGCGGCGTGTCGGCTGAGCAGGCCATGCCTTCTAAAATAAAGGAGGTTTGCATTCGACCACGCCAGGGGCTGGAGAGCGGAAACGCATGCAGGAGCCAGAGGGGGCTTAAGACCCCAGCGTGCGGACAAGGCTGGGGCAGGCGCACCCTCCTCTCCCCTGATGAGCCAGGGGAAGACACCAGCTCATGCTTGTGTCAAAGCAAGAAATGAAGGCAGAGGGGCATGAAGGCCCTGGGGAATGGCGGGGCCTGAACAGGACAGGTCAGCAGAAACGGGCAGCAGGGAGGGAGACTCCTTTGTGCCAGGACCAGAGACCACCTCAGCAGGGTGCAGAGGCCTGGACCCCAAGCACAGCGGGGACGCCTGAGCCAAAGAGGAACAGCTCTGAGGCCCACTGGAGGCTGCTGGCCTTGGGTGCCAGGACGAGCCTGGGTGGAAGCATCGTGAGAAGGCCCAGGCAGACCCCACCAGGCCCCACCAGCTGCCCAGGGCATGCAGCCCTGGGCTCCAGTAGGTGAAGGGGCGGGCGCAGGTGGGGCAGAGCCCCAGGGGGTGGGAAACTGTTAAGAACTGGAGCCAACTTATGTGGACGCTTGAACACTTTCTAGTGCTGCTCCTCCCTTGGCGCTCTGTGCATTTGCCTCCCTGGTTTAGAGGAGAAACAGCCCCGCAAACTCAAGCTGCTGCCAAGGCATTCATACCTGGGCTCCCGCTGCCGAGCACGACCGGGAGAAGAACGCCAGCGCCCAGAGGTGCCAGGGAGGCCGCGCAGAGTGCCAGTGTCCTGAGGGGTCCGCCAGGCCAGGGCAGTGGCACCCACAGAGGCTCCGGGGTGTTCATCTCGCCCAGATGTGGCTCCTCACCACAGCCGAGCCCACAGCCTGGCCCAGGGGTCCACTGGCCTCCCTCTTGCCCCACTCGGAAGACTGGCAAACCCAAGCCTGGATGCCCCCCAGTGCTGAGTGCGTCGTCCCTGTCATCCACGCGTGGCTCAGCTGAGCATGCCCTTCCTCTACAGGCAGAAGAAAGGAGCAGGTCCTGCAGCCAGGGGACCCGCAGGTTGGGGAAGCCGAGGCAAGGAAGAAACAAGCCCTCTGGGCAAAGATGAGGAGCTCCAGCTTCTAGAGGACAGTCTTTCTGAAGCACTCTAGGTTTGGGGACCCGGGCTCCCACCTCCCTCCTTCTTCAACAGCCCACCCGAGGGTCTGGACACAGGGTGAGGGGCAAGAGGAGGGCTTTCACCTGGTGCTGGGGACGTGCCAAGTCCTGATCTGTGCACCCCGGCAAGCTGACGTGCAGACGCTGCTAGCCAGGTGAGGCTGTCCCCAGCCCTTCAGCAGCTTTTCACTAGGCCACTCTCATGGCCACAGTTCTGCACAAACGGCTCCTTCCCCACAGAGCCGATCATCAGGAAAGAAAACCTGTTCATTAGGCTCCACACGGGCGTGGCCCACCCAGCCTGCAACATCTGCTGCTGTTTATCATTTGTGGTTTCCTTCCTATTCCCATTCGCTCTGGACCCCAGCACTCAGCACACAGTAGATGCACAATAAACACGGGTGGCTCACTGACCAGGCAATCTGCCTTATCCCATTTAATTATTAGCACAGCAACACAGGGGCAGAGAGTGCAGTAACTGACCCAAGGTTCTCGAGATAAGTGAGCCCTGAAAACAGGACCTCATTTAGACCTTGGGGCACAAGCTTTCAGCCACCTTGGAGTCCTGGCCGTTGTGTGGGTCTCAGGAGGCAGCCTCCAACTCACTTCAGACCCCAGCTTCCTCTGCACGACCTCTGAAGGAAAACCCCCGAGCGAGGAGGGAAGACAGAATCCCCCAAGTCTCCCACCGTGTAACTCTGGGCAGGTGACGTGACACCTGTGTGTGTCTGGAGTTTTCGTCATCTAAAAAAAAGCATTGATCTGGCTGCCAAGTGGCTGCAGCGGTTCCTCTGAATCGCCTGGATGTCTGCAGGGTCACCCGCACAGGTAAGGCCCAGCCGGGAGATGCCAGCACTTGCCGCCCGGGGCCTCCCTCAGACAACTTCAGAGCATCAACCAGGAGCTTTGCCAGGGCAGAGAACTGGGCAGAATCCCGTTTTGAATGTTTCCTTCCTTCCTCCCCATCTCTGCAGCCTCAGGGGGAAAGTGAGATGGCCAGGGGGTTAGGTAACCAGAGGGACAAAGAGCAGAGATGACGAAGGAGCCAATGTACCTGTCACCAGGACTCATGGCTGGATGATGCGGAAGGAAACAGTGACAGAAGCAGCACATCCTCATGTCCCATACCCAGTGGCCCTCAGAGCCCCTCCTAGGTAGCAATACGGGTTTGTTTCCAAGACATTTGATGGAGAGGAGATGGGGCGGATGGCAGGGAGGCAGGTTCACACTGGAAATTGCAGGATTTACCCAGTGCCTGGTACTTTAAGAGAAGGAATGGCGGCTGACGGCAGCGGCGCTGAAAGTGCTCTCACCAGCGACAGCGCTGCTGGGTGTGCAGCCTGGGAGGTGAGCAGAAGTTATCATGCCCCAGCACATGCTTGGGCAAATAACTCGGCTTCAACTGGGCTCACAGTCCAGCTAGGAGCTGCCGAGGGGGTTCAGCAAGAGGCAGAGGGCGGGAGCAGCTCAGGAGCAAGCAACAGACCTCATGGAGATGGGGGCCTTGGAGACCCGCCTGGCGCCACCCTGTTTGCACCGGGAAAGGACGTTTGTGGAAGGAACTGAGGGGAGAATCATGCACATTGTGTTCCACCGTGTTCCAGGCAGTGTTTACATTTGCTCGTTCCCTTCTCATTCCAGTCTAGAAAGCAGATTTTATTATCCCTTCTTTGCAGACCGAGGATGCCAGCCCGGGGAGCCAAAGGGCTTGCTTGTGGTTACAGGAAGTGGTAGAGCTGGCAGTCAACCCCAGGCACAGGTGCCACACGCCATGTCTTCCCAGGGCCCACCTGCAGGGTGCATTCCTGGAGGTCACGCCAACCTCAGCGTTTCCACTTCGTAAAGCTACCCTGCCCACAGTAACAGCTCAGCCTGCCACGCCCAACGTCCTCCTCCGGCCCCTCCTGAAGCTCTCGGCCCCTCCTGAAGCTCTCCACTTTTCGAACGCTTTCCTTTCGAGAGAGTCGCTGGTGGGACACCTTTGGGAAGTTCTTAGGAAGGACCAGCTGCTGTTGAGCTAGTGATAACTCACTTTAAAACGAGTTTTTTGAAGGCAGGTCTTTAATACATTCTCATCTGTTGGGCAGAAAATGTGTGTGTGCATGTGCATATGTGGTGTGCATGTCTGTGTGCTCATGTGCACGTGTGTGTATGCATTTGTGTGTGCCTAAGTGTGTGTGAGAGTGGGTGTGTGAGCACTGGAGCGTGTGTGTGCGTGCACGTGTGTGTGTACATGCTGGAGCTGTGACATATTCAAGGGAGGGTCACTCCTTCCTTCAGGGAGAAGGAAGGCTGTGACGGTCCCGTGCAATTGCAGATGCCTGGTCCTGGAGTCGGGGACTTGGGTGTAGTCGTGCGCCTGCCGCTGCCCCACTGCCCAGCACTGATGGAATCAGGGGTGACCACCTGTCCTTGAAGAGCATTCCTTCTCCCGGTTATCTGAATCTCTCAAAGCAGTGGGGGAGGGCTGCTCTTCCCATTTCCCGGGATGGAGCTGGGCACAGGGTAAGGGTGGCTTGTGGGCTTGAATCTACTGATTAAGCTGGCCAAGTGCACATCTGGGAACAGGAGAGACTCAGGCCTGGCCGGCACCTGCTGTGTGCCTGGCTGGGGTGTCTCTCCCTGGCCTCCTTCAGTGGGGTACTCCGTGGGCAGAAAGGTGGCTGCACGGCTTCCTGAACCGTCCAGCTGAGGTTTGAGGGATTTCCTAACAATGGCTTTTCCCTAGGGACTTTAGGGGGAGCCAATGAGAACCCCTTCCAAGCCGGCGCGCTCATTGTCCCTCTCTGCCAGTCAGAGGGGGGCCACGAACAAAGGGGGTCTGTTCTGAAGCCCTCTCCCGTTAACTGAAGCCCGTTAGGAACCCCGGACGTTCGCGGGACTTCCTATCTCCGCACGGGAGGACAGAGCCCGACCCGCCGCCCCCCAGGCTGTCCGCGGGGCCGGGAGGTGCAGCGGCCCGGAGTCCCCCTTCTGGAGTCGGAGCTACCCACCTGCGGAGGAGCAGCCCCCTCTATGCCGGCGCCCCCCGCACCTGCCCCCGCGCCACAGGAAGCGGCGGCTCGCCCCCTCCGCGGACCGCGACCCGGGAGCTGCCCGGTGGGCCGAGCCACCGGAAATTAAAGGCTTCAGGTGCCAGCCTTTGCACGCAAAAACTCAGCCTAATCAAATTTTTAAAAGAAAAGATCTGCCGGTGAAATAGAAAAACTAGTCCGTCCCCCCACCCCCACCCCCGGCGAGTCCCCCTTTCCACGCGGAGCCGGCGCGCGGGGACCCCAACGGCGAGTCGCCCCTTTACTCGGGGAGCCGGCGCTGGCGGAGCGCACGGAGGCCGCAGCCGGGACCCGCAGACGCACCGACAGTCCCGCCCGCCGCGCCCGGCCCCGGCGCCGCCACCCGGAGGTGGGGAGGGGGCTACCTTCTGGATGCGTCCATCGATGTCCAGGTAGATGGCCTTGGGCCGGTAGCTGGAGGAGCCGGATCCCATCCTGAGCCGGGCGGCTGCGCTTGGACTTTTCACTGTACTTTCCCGACGCCAGGCGCCGCGGGAGGCGGGGGAGGGGAGCCGGGGAGGGGGTGGCGGGGGGCGGGGGGCGGCCCGCGGCGCTCAGCCAACCAGAGCCGCGCCGCCGCTCGGCCCCGGGCCACCCGGAGTCGCCGCCGCGCGCCGCAGGGTCTCCTCCTCCGCTCGGCTCGCGCTCCGGCTCCGGCTCGGGCTCGGGCTCCAGCTCGCGCGCTCCTCCTCCCGGCCGCCCGCCCCTCCCCCTCCCCTCCCCTCCCCTCCCCTCCCTTCCCCTCCCCTCCCCTCCCCTCCCTTCCCCTCCCCTCCCCCTCCCCTCCCCTCCTCCTCCCCTCCCCTCCCCCCTCCCTCCCTTCCTCCGCTCCCTCCCCGTCTCCTCGCTCCCCTCCTCTCACTCCCTTCACCTCCCTTCCCCCTCTTTCCTCTTCCCGTGACTCCAGCCCCCGATCGGCCGCCTGTCTCCTGCTGCGCCCTGGACGGCCGTGCAGACCCCCGGGAGACCCCTTCGGCCCGGAGCCGCCGCCTCCCCACGCGGCCGGTGCCTCCTGAGCCAGCGCCGGGCTGAGCTGAGTGTGGACCCCCCAGCCCCGCCGGGAAGACTCCCCTCGCTCCTCTCGCCCTGCTGCGACCGCCACCCTCCTTTCGTTTGAATAGAAAACGGGAAAAGTTCCTTCTGGTTCACCCACAGCCTTCCCCTAACTAGGGGGCGTCAGCCTCCTCCAGCTGCGCCCGGAGCTGAAATGGCGATTTTATTTCTGTCCTGGATGGGGCCGGACCGAGGATTACCCAGCCACGAGCTCTCTGCTGGATTCAGCATGTTCGTCCCCTCCCCCTTTTTGCGAATTGCCATAGGGAGTGTGGGAAAGGCGGGAGGGGAGGGGGGCGGCGGGCGTCCTCTGGCTCCGCGGCGCACAGAAGGGGCTGCCTGCGCAGCGCCGCGTTCTCCTGGTCTCCTCCAGTGGGAATGGGGTTGGGGCTGGGGAGGAGGCTCAGAGGCCGTGGTCCTGGCCCTGGTCGCCTTTGGAAGCAAGTGTCAAAGCCAGCGGGAGCATGTGCTATTGTTTCTTGGAAGTGAGTTCCAAGCCACTGCTTTCCATCTGTTGAGCGTCTGGGTGCTGCTTGTTGAGAGAGTCTGGCGCACACAGGCTCCTCCCTCCCCCCTCCCCCACCAGCCGGCGGCCAGTGCCAGGGCCAGTGGTCATTTCCTCTCCCTCCCTGGGCTAGCCTGGTCTCCACCTGGTGGACTGTGGCTGGCTTTGCAGACACCCCCGGGGCCATCCGGAGCCCTGCTGGCGGCTGGAGCCCTGGGGAAGGTGAGCTTTCCCTGCCAGTCTGTGGGGGTGACATCATCCAGTAAGGTAAGCAGTGGTCTTCAGCCTTCGGACAGTCCATCCCGTGTCACTTTATGTCTCCCACCTGCTCTCATGGCGGGGGACACTCTCAAAGAACAACGGGTTGGAACTCAGCAGCCTGGCACCCTGGCACCCCCTGCCCACAGCTCCAGTGGAGTCGGTGTCAGAGCTTGGGCACCATATGTTTTACCTTTCAAATGACAGGGGGTGAGAAGGGGACAGCCTGGAGGCCTTCGGGGTGGGCCCAGCTGGGTGGTTCCAGTGGGCCGCATGACTCGCTTTGAGAAGACAGTGTCCCCAGCTCGTTCAAGTGAGCAGTGTTGTTAATACTTCAATTTGTTGTCAAATGTTCCGACGCTGTTTGGGCTAATCCAGAGACCGTGCTGCTGGGGCCTCGTGTGCCGCCTGGCATGGAGTTCTGACCAGCAGATGGCTCGTTGGCTTTGTCCTTATTCTTCATCCCTTATTGTCATCGACCTCGTCTTCTGTAACCACTTCCTCCAAGAGCCCCAGAAGGAAGAGTGCCCACCCATGGGGTGTGGGTTCTGCAGACCAGTTTCCCAGGAGGGTGGGGGGCGTGCTCTGAGTGCGTCCAGCAGCAGGGCGGGCTGGCCCCTCACGCTGCCTTTATTCTGCGTTAGAAGAATAATCGCTCCTATAATTATTTTGTACTCTTAGGAGCTGGACTGGACTGCTGTGTAGATACTGGATCGATGAGGCGGCAGCAGCTGCCTGGAGAGGAACTCGTGCCTCTCCCAGAGCCCCCGTGGGGTAGCGCGGCCTTCCATTCATCAGCAGTCTCATTTCTGTGTGTTTGGTGCTGTTCTGGGCACTGGGGATTCAGTGGTGAACAGAATCAGCAGAGATCCCGGCCTGAAGCAGCTGGCATTCTCTGGGGGAGACAGACACGATGGTATAAATAAATCGAATGTGTAGGGTAGGTGTTGGATAAAAATTAGGGCAAAGAGGAAAAATCCATAGTGAGACTCCATCTCTAGAAAGGAAACATCCTGCGGGGCAGGGATACAGAATGTGCAGTGCGGGAGAGCTGGAATTTTAGAGAGTGATCAGGCAAAAAAGGTCATGCAGGAGAGACCGCTGGGAGTTAGGAGCAAGGAGCCCGTGTATGTCATGGGGAAGGAGCTTACGGTGCAGGAGCAGCCTCAGGCAGGAGGGCGTGGGCTGTGGGGGACCGGAGTGGGCTGTGAGGTCAGAGAGGTGACGGGGTAACCCTGCGTGGTGGGTCACACGACTGACTTGATCTCCGCCTGCTGCATGCCGTGCCGGAGGCGGTGCAGGGGAGGGCCACGAGGGGTCTGCCGTGGTTTTCACGGGATCCTCTTGGCTGCTGCTGGGGGAGAGTGCGCAGGAGGGGCAGGGCAGGGCGGCCAGTGAGCAGCAGCTGAAGTCAGCTTTGCAAGGCTTTGCGAGGCGTGATGGCGCTTGGGTGGGTGTGAGTAGGGGTCCTTGAGAAAAGCAGACCAATAGTGAGGAGTTGGCTCACTGGATGACGGAGCCTGAGAAGTCCCACTAGCTGCCTGACTGCGAGCCGGAGTCCCGGGGAAGCTGGTGGTGTGGCTCCAGAGCGAGCCTGAGGACTGACACTCAGGAGCTGATGGTGGGGACCCAGTCCCAGGGCAGGAGAAGGCCTAATGCCCCAGGCAGGCAGGCAGGTGGGAAGAAAAAGAGGCAAGTTCCTCCTTCACCTGCCTTCTCGTTCTCTTCAGGCCTTCAGGGGGTTGCATGGTCACACCCACATGGGGCATCTGCTGGCCACAGTCCACTACGGCAAACACCAGTCTCATCAGAGGCACCTCATGGAACCCCTTCTCCCCCAACCAGAAACAGCACCTCCCAGCTTTTGGGTGTCCTGGACTGGCCAGGTGGACACATAACCCTCACCTGTGCAGGTGGTGAGGCATGACTGACTCCGCATCCAAGTTGGAGGATGTGGGGTCTTCATTTGTGCCCGTTTCCTAGGTGGGCTTTGTGCCTATTATCTGCCCTCCTTTCCCCGGCTCTGCCTACAGCCACACTTTCTGGTCCTGGACAGCCTCAGTGGGAAAGGTTCCAGAAGTGGCAGCTGCTCTGTGCTCACCATATCAGTCCCCGGGGCTCCTGGTCTCCTAAACCTGCATCCCAGCTCCTGGCCTGGCCGCTGGGAATGCTGCGAACGTTGGGTCCTCAGAATCAAGATAAAAATGAAGGAAGCCTTCTGCCTCTGCCAGGCAGGCCGGGACCAGGTTGGGGACCCTGAGTAGAGTCGAATGCCTCCTCAGCTCAGGCCTTGGGTCTTTGGGGAACTTGGTGACTGAGTTCACATACGCACTAGAAAAGTTTCACGTGTGGATGAGAAAACTGCCTGGAAACTTCAGACAGAGTGAGAGTCTGTCCTCGTGTCACAGGGAAGAGGCTGGAGGTGGAGGAAATTCTGAAGGTGCCAAGCCCCAGGGCTTCCAAGAGCCGAGTGGGTCCAGCCTCTGCCTCCCAACCTCTGCCCAGGCTACACTTTTTTCTGGTACCTGCCAGGGTGCCTGCAGGCTCATTCCTGTGTGCAGAGCTCACTCTTTCATTCCCAAAAAGATCACACCAAAGGGGAGTTTGAGATTAGAGTATCAGAGCCAAACTGAAGCTTGGAGGAGCTGAGCCTGGAGGAAGGGTCAGGACCAGGGAGTGAGGAACTGGTCGCCGGTTCCCGAGTCCCAGGCCAGCTCACCGTCTCCAGCAAGAAGGGCCAAGCGAAGCCATGTGAGGCGAAGAATCTGGGCTATCCTTGAGGAGTGAGCATCCTCCCATGAGATTGGAAGACTGGGAAGGAAAGTCTGAGTGCCCCGAAAAAGGCTAGAGGGGGTGCCCAAAGGCAGAAGACGGTGTTCATGCAGTGTGGCCCCCTACTGCCAGCAGCTCCCAGCATGTGCTCCCAATAGCCAGCCTGGCCTGGCGGATTGAGCCATGGTTGGTGGCAGCTACTGAACCAGTGCCCTGGGCATCATCTGCCTGTTCTCTCTTGGATCTAACCAGCATTACTCACGACTATTCTGAAAAGACTCCAATCGCTTCCTCCACCACCTCTTCCAAGTTTGGGGTGGTAGGGGTGGGGGTTGGGGAAAAATCAATTCATCAAACAAGCAAAATGTATCCAGCGCCTTCTTACTGTAGACAGGGCACTGAGTAGTGCTTATTAAAGGGGATTGAAGCCCTCTGGACCCTGGAAACCTTATGGGAGAGATTAAAAAGACAGTCAAAGGCAAGACGCTTTACTTTCTGAAAGGTGCACCATGGAACACCAAGAAAAATCAGCTTGTCTTGTACATGTGTAACGAACCTGACCCTGACGAGCTCTCCAGGATGACCACTGGGTGGGATGCACCAAGAATCAGAGAAAGGGGGTGCCCTTTGACCTGAAGAAGCTGGCATTCTTCAGACAAGATGGGATCAATAAATGGACAGGCAGATGGTCTGCCCTTAACTTTCGTGCGAAAGAAGACGACTCCTGCACCGAGACCTCACTTCCGTGTCTGTCGTGGTAGCATTTGATTTACACACCCTCCGCCTGTTTCTTTTTATGGTCTTGGTAATTGCAAAATTATTACTAGTTGTAAATATTTCAAACAATGTGGTAGAAAAGACAAAGTTCCTTCTTGTTCAGAAAAAGGGAGACCTGCCCCTTCTCACCCCGGACCGGCAGGACCCTGATACCTGTGTGCTTCCGACTCCAGACCAGCTCCTGGTGTGATTTGTTGTTTTAAACAATGTGAACAAACACCCACATCCACATCGTTTGTTGGTTGTGTTGCTATTCTTCAGAATTGATTTTC